TTGTGATGTTTTACAAGTCAAGAAGCGCAACTTTTGGCACCCCAGTGTATATATTATATAGAAATACACCATACTACACCTATGCACCAGCACCACGGAGCTTCGGGTGGTTGTTGGATGGTAAATATATACATCATCAGGGATCTACATCAACGACCCGAACTCCAGAGGCGCTGGGGGAGGTCCTCTGCGCCGCACGCGGAGTTTCCACCGCAGCAGCAGCTGTCCGGTTTCGCTGCAGCCACAGTCACGGCCTCGTTGATGGCCCGTTTGGCATCCTCCAGGCCACCGATGTCCTGCATTCAAACAACAAACAGCGCCGACGGCAACATATACACGTATACCCGTTTGGCCTCCAGTCGTACCTTTTGAGAAGGTGGGACTGGGGTGGGTGCCAGGAGGGTCCAGTCATACCTTCTGAGGAGGTCCTTGGAAGTGTAGGGTTAAGACATCTTTTAACAGAATTTTGATGTCGTGTTTTTGTTGGCAGGTGGGACGTTCAGGTAGACTTAGGGGTCAAGAACATCATGGAATTTTCTAAGAGACTGGGTTAGCGACATTCAGCGACTATACGATCTGTACGTGAAGTTTGTGCACCAGTGCGATCCAGAGTACCAAGTCTATGTCTGGATGTGATGTGACTATATAATATATATATAGAGAGAGATCAAAATTGTGAGGTCGTGGCAAGTGTTGTGGCTTGTCCTGGCTTCCTTGCTGCAGCCACTGGCTTCCCTCCTATACAAGTCTTCCCTCCCAGTTGATGTAGTTGCAGGTCTTGGCGTGCTTTTGGATCTGCAGGACTTCCTGAATCCTACAAAGAGCTGGACCCAAAAAAAGAATCATGAGGCATCCTGTCTTCATGACTCGGTGTCGATGAAAGGTCTCCCTGTCCTCGAAGCGGACCTTCAAATCTTGGCAAACGATATCTCGCTCCTCAGAAGGGTTTCCAAAGCAACAACAGTCTGTTGGGCCAGTTGGGGTGACGAGAGGCTTTATAAATACAGGACGTGGGAACCGAAAGCAAATGTTGGGGCACAACTCTTAACAAACCAAAGCAAGAAAGCACACCAAAGCAGGTGAACCAGCAAAGTAAACATTACAGCTCAGAACCTTTGAAACACCCCCAAATAACATCAAATAACCACCGTTTTGTTCCACATTGAACACCACTGACAGCCAGCCCCACACGAATAAAACCACCGGACCCATGCTGAAATGGAGAGCGCTTAACCAAGAAGTTGTGTCAACAACATATCCAATCCAGGTACATGCGATGCGCCCTTGCCGCCCAAACTGGCACCTCCCACAACCCCAGTGAGGCCCACAAGTAAGGAGCACAAATGTGAAATATGTTACTTTTGTTTGGTACGCAACGCTTGGAGGCTCTACTCACTATATGGATAATGGACATCCATCCCGAGGTAGGATTGTGTAGGCATGCTAAACATTGCAATGTTTTGTTTTTTGTTTACTAACTAAAATATGTATATCTATTTAACCATACATGGTACACATGATGTCTCTGAACGAAATGATCACTGTGCATCGAGTGCATTGCATGGTGCGACGACTGAGATTGTCGTAAAAATTTGGGGGAAAGCAAACAGCCATGTCTATTGCACCCATGTACCTCTGGAACCAGGGAAAACCCCTTAGAACTTGTCTCTACCTGGTCACATTAAATGATTGATCAGGGTGTGCATCAAAATAGGGAGACCTCCCAGTTCGACCCTCTGGAAGAAGGGAAATTGACATAGACCAAAACATACCCAAACCATCCCAAACCCATTGGTTGGGGGGGTCTCCCTATACTCGCCCCTATACACATCCATCACCCATCTATTGCCAGAGCAACGGTCCAATCCCCCAAAAAGTGAGATCCAATCGGACTCACGTGTCTTGGTTGATAAACGCGGTCACGTTCGTCGGACCCACGTGGCACGAAAGGCCCCTGGAGTCTTCCGCTCTACGAACAGGCGGAGCAACGTGCATTTTGTTTTCCTGTGCTACGAACAGGCAGTGCCATCATGTGCCATCCACTTCCCATGCCGGCAACGTGAATCAGAGAGTCACCACCGATGGACTCATCTTTGCCTGACAAGTCTCGATCGACATAGCAAGGTCTATTTCTTCATTCACAGCAGAACCAGCTCCAGGCATGATGCTGAGTGGCCCATATGCCTTACACAGAAAGGTTCAGAGTTGGATTTCAAGAGTTCTCAAATGACATCTCGCGGATGGAAATCATGTTGCACTCCCTGGAATAATGGATATTCTTGGATGACCATTTTCCTCTACAAACGGAGGGAGCGCCCTTAAACCCCGGTGACGCTGCTTCGCGGTGTTGGACGCATGGCGTTCGGTGGCCACTACGAGAGTCATCGCCAGTCGATACCCTGTCGACCCTTGGTGTATGGGTATAAGCTACTAGGAACAAGTGCATCGCTTCTAGTAACAAGTGCCTTACTAGTATTAACAGGTGCCTTATCGGTGCGGTTTGGCGCAGTGTACTTGGTGTATCCGTGTGGTGACGCATGAACAAAAGGGACACGCCGGTGCGCACGCGCGCCGCTACTGTATGCTACAAGCAGGTGGTTTGCCAATTCCATGATGTCCAAGAGTGCAAAATAAGATGAGCATCAGAATGAGCCACATCCTCACTTTGACGAGATGCTGATGGTGCCTTTCTTGCAGATGATGTGGCAGCGCTTGCAGAGGTCTCTTCATCGTCCCGAGTGGTGCCAGGCACCAGGCGAAAGCGCTTCACGTAGCAGCGAGTCTTTCCATAGACGGCCAACCCAACGCTGCTCTCTCCTACGCGGAGGACCGAGGGCCTTTCGGAAAACCCCCGGTAAGAAGCTCGGCCAATGGCAGTCGATCAGAACCCGGAACGCCCAGTCCTGGTAGGTTCTGCTCGTGTTCGGTCGTCAGCCAGGGTCCCCCCGGTTTTGGACCCACATGATGTGGGTGATGATTCCCACTGGCCCTACACAACTAGCATCAACTAGCCCAAGAGTGGGAGGGTTCCTTCCTTCGAAGACCACTGGGCTGGGCGCTCGAAAGATCGCCCGTCGCTGGGCGTCTTGCTATGAACATAGCCGTCACCACCGACCACCCGCGGCCCAAGATTTTGAGTACCGGAAGTCTACTTAGATGGGAGACCCTATGAGTGTACTAACCCCTTAAGATCAGAAACTGCAGGGCAGTTGGTACGAACTAGACCCTTACACTAATCCACAACATTCAGACCCCTGAATACAATCTCTTCGGGGCCAGTCCACACCAATCAACACTGCTACAAGTTGCCAGGCTGGACATATCCTCTCTGCTGCCGTCGAAATAGGCAGATCGAACATCCTTCGCTCCATTCCGCTCCTGCATTTGACCCGCGGTCAACCCGCAAATTCTTCACCATCGAGATGCCACTCACCGTCAAGCTCATGGTCTCCCCACTGAACTCTGCCTGCACCTCAAAGGATGCGGGGTGCCGCCGGCGCAGAAAGTAAGCCATGGTTGCTACGGTGGGACGTATGTCCAGCCCGGGGCAATGTAGCTAGGCTCTGGGAGCTATGCGCTTGAAGGCAAATGGGAGTCACTGCCAGCAGCACTTTGCCCACCGAAATCCGAAACTTAAATCGCTTGGTGTGACCCCTGTCTCAAGCTGCATCATTTCCTGACACCAATGACCTTCAGAAATGGCTAAGGGAAGACTAGCATCTCTTGAAGTCTGCACCATACTCCCCTTTACAGGTACACCATCTATGAAGTAGATGAAAAAAAACTGAAAAGATGACGTCACCCACAAACGACAACAACATGCAACAAAAAACATGCCAAACCCCTTCAAACCAACGGTCAGATATGTTTTACGCAAAGCATATAGGTCCAAGGCACTGTAAGGTAACTCTGAGGTCTCAGTATGCTACAGTTGGGTTGCGCGAAGTGCGTCACCGTCTGCTTGTGCCGCTTCTGACTCTCCACCCGAAGCTCGCGGGTGTCAAAGTTCATGCGCAAGGCCAGGAAGTCACAGCCCGAGGAGAGGTCTGTGACCTGGATTGAAAATACCCTACAAGTCCAAGGGCCAAGTTGAACCTGGTCCTTGACCCATTGAGAACTGGTTTTGCATGACCGGATCCAGTCAATTGAGGTCCTTGACCTGCAGGGATAGCTGCAAGGACGTGGGAGATGGGGCACCCAGTATTCTAAGGCTCTAAGGACAGGACCTGAATCTTGAATCCACAGACCTCCCGAAGCTTGATTTTTTTCGAGCGCTTAGAGTATTGCATTTGGGGCTGGATGAACCCGTACTATCCAAGAGGTATTCTCCAGAAGTACCTTCCTCTCTCATTTATCATTATGTCCCATCAGTCTTCTTTAAAATTTAGAAACGTCTCCAATTGTTCTTCCTCCTCAATCCCCGCTGTTTTCCTTCCGGAACCATCGTCTCGGTTCCGGATGAAGGGGGCAAAGGGAGAGAAGGAGACGGAGAGGTGATCACTTTGTAGCCAGTGACTGTATCTAAGTCATTGCATGTGGCCAAGTATCTAGCTGGAGTATCTCAAGTCAGATCCTACTGAGACAAGTGCATAAGGCACCTGTTTCCTTTCCCCACCGGACCTCGGCTCGAGTCAGCGGAAACGCCGTCCAGATCGTATGCCGCCGCGTTCGCCTTGTTGCAGTCGAGCAAGAGGAAGATCTGTTGATCTGGGGTCCTGGACGTGGAGCTGCCAAGTCGCCACTAATGATATGAGGCGACACCAAGGGATTGGGACCCCAGATCAGTCCCCAGGTGTGAACTGAGCCCCCTATGATCAGATAATTATGATAAGTCCCTAGGGACTTACACATGTGGAGAAGGAGATGAGTGGCTCGGAGCGGCAGAGAAACGAGTGACACACATAGAAATTCATAGAAATACCTCACACTCATGTGTAGAAGTCAGTTTACATCACTTGTGGAGCACCAGAAACATGGAATTGCACAACCATGAGTTTGGACTTCAACATGGTCTTGAGGACATCTATATATATATATATATAACTCTCAAGCTTTTAGGTTACACGACATCTGCCTTGAAATAAATCACCACAGTGCATCCATGGCCGTTTCCACTTCTATATAATTCGTTTACCCTCATGGTACAGACGTTCTGCACCGTCGGGGCAGACCTGGTCCCCTTGAGACCTGGTTCCAGACCGTTCCAGACGCTCGCTCAGGTTCCAGGACTGTTGCTGTCGGCAAGGGATGAGAATGAGGGTGACACACCCCGTTCTGGACAAACACCACAGAAGAATATGGAATGACCATGAATGACCATGATTCCTCATGACATGTCGAAACCTCCCTTAGTGTTTTTCACCATGTACTGGGCTTCTGATGCTCCCTAGTTTAACAAATAGGCAAGTGCATCTGACACCTTGGACATCCATTCTTTCCAACTGTTCCAACTCTTTCCAGGGCTTCTCACTCAAAAACACCTTTGGAACGGACTCCACACCAAAAAACACGCCTCCCCCGATGTTCTAGAGACGGGCATCTGCTCTTGTGGCATGCACTTCAGCTCCGCGCTCAGTGCATAGACACCTCTCAGCTCCGCGTCTCCCTCCCCGCGTCTCCCGCTTCGTCCGTCTACACCGAGTTCGGTGCATGGAGGTGCGGCTGCTCACGCTTCTTTGGGGGGAGCACGACTGGAGAAAGGGGTTGAATTCTGCGGTGGCCCGTGGAAAACAGGGAAAAGGAAGGATGTCTGTTTTCTTTAAATCAAGGACACTTTGGCTTGGACATTTGCTGCTAATAGCATTTCATGGCTGCAGGAGGGTCTACTCCAACAGCGGCAGAAGCTAGGCCCTGGTAGAGAACTTCTCTGTTTACATCCACAGATTCGAGTCGGTGCATCAGGTTTTTCCCTTCGTCGAGTGGAGTGGTTTCACCCCACGTCACGATCTTCTCCCCACGCTCGACTCTGCTGTGCTTTGGAACGCTCGGGTCGGGCTCGGACCTCGGCTCCGACCCGATCGGGTCGCACCTTCCGCCAGCAGGCGTCGCTCCTCCGGGCTGCCACCGTAGCAACAGCCGGAGAAGCCCGAGGATTTGGTGCCTTCCAGAATGAAGACGTTCTTCTCCTCGCGGAATGACACCCCAATACGCCCCAAAAGACCCATCAGACCGCCTTCCAAAGAAAGACCTGGAAGGGTTGGGTATAGAGACGAGAAGCAGCAGGCCAGCTCTCTGTGCTCTGCTCCAATGGTCTCTCTTCCCCTCTGGATGAAGTCCAAGCTTGAACCAATTTGGGGAGAATCGCGGCAAACGAGTGTACTAATCCTGGCCAGAGCTGCCCCTCCCAAACAGTTCACAACTTTTTGCCCCAACACGCTGAAGACCGTGGAAGAGCCGAAAAGCCTTGCCCAAAACTAGGAAATGCATGGAGTTATGCCTTGCTTGTGTTCTTGGAGCACCTCAGGTCTTCCAACTTTGAGCTAGCCAGCCATATTGGTGGAACTCTCAAAGTATTCGCCTTCTTGCTCAAGTAGATCTTGCCATGGTCAGTGAGCTGTGTCCAGCCTGCGAACAGCACTTTGGGGTTCAACTCCTCTATATTTCAACATGCAAATGTCCGTCACAGTGACATCATCGCAAACTTGATTGGGCCGAAAATACCACCACATCCAACATCCACCGCTCCGAGGAGTTCTTTGATTTACACTCATGGAAGTGGAACAGTTCGACCCCTAGAAGACCAATTGTCCTCTACAAGGGGGGTCTGCTCAGCTTCCATGATTGTTTGAGGGAGTTGTTTACTTGTTGCACTCACGCAGAAGTCGCTGGAACGGCTCCGCCTGGACCATAATCCTCTTTGGACGACCCGCTGGAACGGCTCCGCTCGGCCATCGGGATCGGGCGGTTCCGGGAAGTTCGCCGTCATGCAGGGTCCGGCGGTCCGGCGGGCCGGCGCTACGGGGTAGGGTCTTTCAATAGAAAGATGAAAGGACCAATATTCGTCAGATCTCTTTAGGTACCATCACCTGTCTATAATTATACATGAATTACTGGTCATTTACATAGACCTGGAGGATGGGAGGGTGGGAGGGTGGACCTTTGCATGATTTCGCACGACCATAGTCGAATTTTGCTCTACAAAGGCGGCATCTTCCATGTTTTCTGTGATCTCCTCGTTCCCTAATGGCCCACTTCACAAAATCAATAAACAGAAAGCGCGACGACATACGATGGGATGCTCACAGCGCTCCCGAGTTTGGGGTGGCTGGTTTGACCGGTTTAGACTCAGTCGTACTTTGGCAGCACTTGTGTCTGCCACAGGAGCTAAGGTTTCTGAAGCCATGGAGAAGAGGCGCCACATTGGCAGATCTGTGGTAGGTCACAGCAAGGTGAGATTCACAGCTTTTCTACTACTGTGAGTACTGCGGACCATTTTGAGGCAATGGCAATATAATTAATGAACAAACAATATCTTGTTGGGTCTGGCTGGCAACTGCAGGTCGAATCAAGCCTGGGATACTATCTTCATGGGGGTGTAATGCGCTTTCAACAAACACATGGTCACACTTGCATTTGTTGTTGCTAGATGTTGCTAGTTCTTTTTGAAGAAACTCAAACCCAACTCAAACGCACGGTCGAAGAAATGGCCCGACACTGAACCACTTGATGTGTCCTTCCTCATAAAGCCCGTCTGCCCTAATCTGGCTTTGCCACACGGGTTGACGGCCGCCAGATTGGTGCCCTACCCGCCAGTCGCCCCCATCCGACGTTCTTTCGATCGCCAGCATGAGGTCTCATTCTCAAATGGTGCCAAGGGCAACCTGCGGGGAGCATCCCAGTGCACTGCTCTTCTACATCAAGTGCTTGTAGCATAAAAACCCAACACAATTGTCTCCATTGATAAACAAGTTTGCTCCATTTTGTGCCGGGCCTTGTCAGTTTACATATCACAGGTTCTTTTTGTTGCGTGGCATCGTGGAATCGTGTGTCACCATGTCTCAGACTTCAGCGAATCCTCCGCGAGCCTGCCCCTGCCCCGGACCACGACACAAAGAAAGAAAGAGAGAGGGAGTGCTGAGAGTGCGCTCATTCTGGAGCACAACACATCTTTGGGTTGCAACACTTGCAACTCCTCGCAACTCAAATCTTCACACATCAGCTTCTTCTCCTTCACAACGTTTTGACCGAACCAATACACATATATCATATTGTAGGCATCTCATCTGCCTGATTCACTGCACATGGACACCCAGCCAATCCGGGGTCTTCCAACCTGCTCCTTGATCCATGGAATGACCTCCTCGAGGGCTTCTTCCAACGAGGTGAGGCACTCAATGCCCAGCATCTCCTGGATGCCAGCGGATGCCCGCCGCAATCACCCAGGGGTGCATCCAAGAGATGGCGTTATTGCGCATGAACACCTTCACCACCACCACCACCACCACCACCACCAATCCTACTCCTATACTCCTACTACTCCTACTACTACAAGTACATTTCTAAAACTACATTTCTACGACGAGGACGACGACGACGACGACGACGACGACGGCTACTACTCCTACTACTACTACTACTACTACTACTACTACTACTACTACTACTACTACTACTACTACTACTACTACTACTCCTGCTACTACTGCTACTACTGCTACTGCTGCTCCTGCTCCTGCTGCTGCTCCTGCTCCTACTACCACCAGTAGCAGCAACAACAACTTGAGGGGCACTTGCGCACGAACTCACGAACTATTCGCCAAGAGTTCCGGAGACTGCCGCTGCAATACAGATCCTTGGGCCACAGGATGTTCTGACGTTCTGTTTGGGCATCGAATTGCAGGAGACATGGGGAAATGGATTCTTCCCCGGGAGTTGTTTGAACTCCAAACTACCGGCCTCTTGACCAGCCTCTTGACCATGGCTCAAGAGCACTGTGTTCTAACATGCGGGAGACCGGGAGACCCATTGGCCCATCACAAAAGGACAACGGTCTAAAACCCCTTGGTTCGACATTGGTTGGAGGGGCTTGCCATGGTAAGACACTTCTGAAAGATCCGGGACGTTTCAATCACCACATCTGCCAACCGTCCACATCATGGAACTCTGCTGTCCACCCCACCGGCCCGTACTGCGTCCTTGGCCTTCTGGACGCAAGGTACCCGCATTTGAACGTCATGCCTAGGATCCCAAAGGTCGTGCAAGTCGCCGACTGTGGAAAAAAACACCCGTGAAACTCGAGTGGAATCATCCATTAACAGGAGGGCAAACAGTCCACGAAACCCGATAAAAGTATCAAAACTATAGTCTGTTGAACACAAACCAGCCATCAAAATCAATCAAACACAAAATGAATCAACATATTCAACATGAAGGGCAATTCTGGTCATGTTGGAGCAAAACAGCCAAACACCAGCTGAACAACATTGAACAACCACCCCCCCAAGAGTTTCAAAAACCGCCCTACGGAGTGGAGAGTCTGCCTGTTCACATCAGCCCGGAGTCTGCGGCGTCGGCGACGTGGCAGTCTGTCGGTCGACAAGAAATCTCTTTCGGTCGCCCCGCTGGAAGGGCTCGTCGGAGACATACTCGAAGGGCACGTCCCCGTTGAGCCTGAGCACAAACACACGGGAGATTAGTTTTGCATTTTTTGTTTCGGTCGTGAAAGAAAAAAGGAAAGTATACCGTATGAATGAATAAACCACCCAAGGAGAAAACAAACGCCTCCCAAGACACAAAGCTCCCCCAATCTCACTTTTCTCTACAAAGGCATCTCCAGAAAAAAGAAAAAAAACTTGATGTTCTCCACCCAAGTCAGGTTTCCCTGGGCCTAGATGTTGTAGAGAGCATCCTGTTACAAATATATATATATTATAGTAATAACAATAAGACGGCAAGACTGAGGCTATTTGTTGAGAGACAGGTGTCATATAGAGTCTATACTGCAGCTTCAGGGCTGAGATTAGATCAATTCAGCACCGAAAGAACTTCTGGATTCATAAAAGCAGTCCTTATCTGGCCATGTTGATGATTCGACCCTCAATAGCATCTGGACTCAACTCCCTGGACTCCGGACACAAAAAAGTGGGAACACTCGGATCCAAGGGGCTTCTTCCAAATGACTTCTGCCAACTCGAGGACCTCACACGAGCGACGACGTCTCTCAGCGACGACGTCTCGCGCAGCAGAGTTCCACCTCGATCAGGCAGACAGACGAGGAGGCGACGAGGAGGGGCAGTGGTTCCACAGACACCCCGCAAGACGAAGAGGAACATATACTTTACGGTCTGCACATCCCTCATTTGGTGAATCCATCTGCTCGATCTCCTATGTCACTCTGCTTTTGCCACATAGTATGGAAACTCAACCAAGGTGTCTGCAAGGTCTACATCAGTGCTGCGTAATGAAGAGGTGCTAAGTTCTAGGTTGATTTGGGAGGAATGCACTTGAAGGCCGGCCCCACCAACCCGCCGCCGCCGAGTGGCGGTGTGGCCCACGCTGGTCGAGATATTGAAGTCCTGCTGGTCGCACGCCAGGTTCGGTGCTGCATTTTAGCACCTTCTTTGTTGGAATATGATGGATTCTTTCTGATCTTTTTGCCTCACCCTAAAAGACTCTCAGAGCCTTTAGTCATTGACCTCCTTCATTTCCCCAAGTTGAAGCTACGTGATTTCTTGCCACCTGATCAGATGGAGTTGGGAAGTAGATCGAATATGGACCAGCTTCACCAACTTGCGCCTGCATACAGCACCCTATCACTCTACCACCAGCAAAGAAGACTCGCCTTGACCCACCGTGACTCGGGATTGCTCTCACTAAAAACTGGGAACTCGCCCAGCAACCTAACTGCCTTCACCGCTTCTCAAACAACATCCAGTTGTTTTCGAGCCAATGGTCATGCAAGAGCCATGGGGTCTGGCACCTCTCACAATACCTGGCCTTGAAGAACATTTCATTTGGATGCATGGATGGTCATGTCTCCTGGAATTTACCCATGATGCCATGGCCATATCCCCAAGCAAAAGGCCAAATTGCCTGATGGACGGCCAACAAAACAAACACAGTACTTCTGTCCCTTCTGTGAGCCACAAAAGAGATCAACGCTTCGTCCGACACCCAGATTGAGGTTCACCACACCTATCCCATCCACAGAAAATCTGAAGTTGCAAAAGACACCAAAGCAAATCAAATCCAAATCCTAGAATGAAACCTGATGTGTTTTCTCACGTGAGCAAAGATCCTTGTGCAGCTGCATACGGATTTGGATCGTACTCGCCAGAACCAATGGATAGTCTTGTCGCGTGGATCTCCTGATTTTTGGAGCGTGGATCCATGATACACTTCACGATGCCCTTGGCCAAATCCCCAGCCTTGGATCCCCCCGTGTCGAATCGATCCCAGCCGACCGGTCGGTTTTCGGTTTTCGTCGTTCGTCCTTCAAAACAGAATTTGAACAGGATCATGATTGAAGGACTGGACGAAAACCTGGACTCACCTCAACACATTGGAAGGACTGGACTTAACCACGGGAAAAGTGTTATTTTTGAACAGGGTACCTTTGGCCAAAGTGCCTGGAGATATGCATCTCTTAACCGGAAAGTGCAATTTTTGAATGTTCAAGGTTCAAGGTCACTCTTTCCACTGCTTTCCGCTCTTTCTCATTGGTCTGAAGACGCCTTCTTGGTCTGTGCTGTCGAAGGACTCAGATCCACACGGCTGTCGGCCGGAAAATCACTCGCTGCTCTAGTGCGTGCTTTCAACTCGCAATAGGTAGGGTGTCTGTCATCTGTGTGATTTGTACCAAATTCCCGCTAAATGGTGTAAACTGATCTCCCGCCTTTTTACCAAAATCCGGTCACATGCCCTCTATTGCCATTCTTTTTGCGCCGTGTTGGAATCCATCAAGTGACTCCCATGGGCCATGGGTTTCTCTTCAGGGGTCATGAAACAGTCGCGCAGTCGTCTGCACAGTCGCGCTGCGTAGGTGTAGTGCCGTTTCTGATTCCCAGCGCCCAGAATATGAAGCCTCAGCATCCAGTCGTGGTGAAAGAACGGTGACACCATGTGACACCAATGTGGCTGGTGTCACATGGGTTACACAGGAAAACCCTCACTCCCAAGTTATCAACAAACTACCGCATTTCGAAGGGACCTTAGCTTTATGGCCAGCTATGCAACAGTCAACAGCATGACATCAAGAAATCTTGGCGTCGTGCTGCCTACCGCCCTTCTGGCTGCATCTAGCCACAGTGCGCTCCTCCACTCCATGCGTGCACTTACCCCACATCTGCAAGCACGACCTGACGTGTTCATCCTTGAGGTTGAAAACGATCCCATTGATATTGAATCAACACTCATGGTGTGAACAAATGCTACCGGCTATGTCCTAGACTCGATGACACCTCAGTCAGCTAGAGTTGGAGCGACAACAACAAGCTGCATGCATTAGATGAGGCAAGAATGTGAAAACATCAGCAAGGTTAGAGAATCCTGGACACTTCCATTCAAAGCCATCCTCCCTGAAACTCAGTTTCACTCGGTTCACTCGTGTCCCAGACACGGCTTCTGCCCCTTCAAGATCTTTTGCACCAAATCCGGCACCACATGCGACATGGCCTCCGGACGAGGCAGAACGGTCCGTTCTTCACGGTGGCGGATGGTGTGCTTCAACACTCTCGGTTTGGTACGGTGGCGGATGGTGTGTGCAACAGTGCAAAAGGAGTCGATTGTAGTATGAACATGTATTGATTGAAAGGGTATTCTGACACATTCCAAACATGTTTTCTATGTTTTCTTTTTTGACATTTTGAACGCCATCAGATTTGAGGACAACTACAGGACTTGAAGCTCCGATGATTGGAAAATGAAATCCTCTGCCATTTAGCACAGCACGCGAGCAATAAACAGAGATCATGGATTGAGTTGAGTCAACACTACTTCTGATACGTCATCCAGTGAAACCGACTCTCCAAATCCCACTCAGGGGCCCTCTATACAGAGTATCTAGAGAAGTAGCAGGGAACAGTACTATATACCCCAGAAAAAATGAAAAAACGTAATTAATGAATATATACCCCTCCATATTTCAAGGTGAACTTGGATGGACCATTCTCTAACTAGAAAAAACGGGGCATTCACTTTTGTCTAGTAAATATTTATGGCTAGGTAAAAATGCTGTCAAGAATCATCTAGGCAAGAAACAAAGACCCTATCTTCATGATGTGTTGCCTCTCTAGGGAATTGTCTACAGTTTCCATTTTGCGTTAAATCAGACAAGTGTAGCACACACACAAAACAAAACTTTTTCTAGAGGCGCCAGGGAGAGGGACTTCTGAAAAACATTCATCGATGGCCAAACATGAAAATACAGTAACCATTTCGTAGAGATGTTCAGCTATCAATGAAAATGAGGAAAACAAATATCAAGCAACCTTTTCGTTTGAGCGTAAGATGTTGTAGTTATATAACGTATATTCTTTGACGTGCCACAGACTCCACACCGTGACTCCATGACACAGCAATCGTTCCTCATACCGTGACTTCATGTCTTTTCCACCATTTTGCTCCCGAGTTTTCTGGACCATCATGTTGATTGTCAGATTTCGTCAGCGCTTTGCCAACCCAAACAATGTTGTCAGATTTTATTATGGAACATGCTTTGCACCGTTTGCATATCAAACAGCTGTATCTAGAAAATGGTGTCCTTGTTGATTGCTGCTGTTTTGCCAAACGTCTAGAAAGTGTTCTTGTACCTATTTTCATATCCCATTATTTTCAAGCACAAGACTACTATAGATAATAGATGTCCTCTAGGAATTGGTAAGGTATGGTAAAACATATGATTGTATCATCAAAAAAAAGCTGTTCTATAGAACACGGCGGGGCTCTAGCAATATATGGGCCATGTGTTACTAGAAAATGACCCTTGGACTTGGACTTGGGTCCAACCATCTCCTAGGGGAAATAACAAAAGGTAAATAAAATAGCATAAAATAGCATATAACAAAGATATGACCCTGCCAGGTTAGAGTGATAGCATCCACTCCGCCCAGTGACATCTTCCAGACTCGTTTCTGACCAAGACTACCCTGTCTGTTGATACCCTGAACATCCCCGAAACCTCCCCAAAATATACCTTCTGCATGCAAATCAGATTTGAATGCTTCCATACAACAGCAATCAACAGCCCCTGGATCAGGCACCCAAAAAAGAATCGCGGACATGCTTGCTCCCTGACTCATCCTCCAAGATGGGAAGGCGCTTTGGTTCACTTCTTCCCAACTGCATCTTGCAAACCCAAGAAACCCCTGGGGGAACCAGGGACGAGCTTGCCCCATGGTTCCTGGTTGCTGATACTCTTGCCAAGGTCCCTGGTTGGATACTGAAACGGTCTCATCATCTTTGGAATCACGGGTGTTAACAGGTCTTCTCAGTCGCTCATTGCAGGTCTTCTCCGTCTCCACCGCCTTTTGATCGAATCCGCTCTCCACCGGGGTCCTCGACCGAAACAGGTCAGGGGTTCCGACGCGCTCCTCCCCTCTACCCTCCAGAAAAATGCTGCTCCTCCATACGAAAAAACCGCCTTCAGCACTCGCTGAAAACGTCGAAATTCGCATTGTGGCATCGCATCTGACTCCGAGGTGCCAGCTTCACGTTGCCACTCAGCACCTCCGAATCCGTGGTCGCGCGCTGCTCGCCGATGCCCACGGCGTTGAAGGGTCCTTTGGCGAACTGCGAACGCATCGATTCGTTCGTGACGTGACATCCAGCGATGGGATTCGCCAGCTCCAAAGACAAAAAGCCATGGCGGCAAAGCCTTGAAAACAGAGTGTTTTGCATGTCCATGATTTTTGCACAAAGGCTCGCCCCTGGATAATTATGCTCATACTGACTCATACTTCTACAATGGTACCTAGGATTCCCTTCAAAAGGTCTTTCTTGGCCAGTTCAAAACACCGCTTGCAGCTCTTCCCAAAGAGCTTCCCCACACCGCTTTTTGGGCAAAACGACCGCTTTTTGGGCAAAGCTTGATTGACCTGGGAAAAGCTGCACATCGACCACCATCGACGGACATAGCTGACATAGCTGCCTGAGGTCCACTGGGTCCATTGGGTCTATCCCACGATCCCATCGCCCAACGGATGATGATTTTCTTGGTCAAGGGCAACATCTCTAAAATAGTGAGGTTCTTGTTTACCGACTGTTACAAGTATATAATAACATATAATAACGGTAGGACAGACTGACCCAACATGTCTACTTCAAGGATGTTTTGACGAAACTGACGCTCCAGCGGACTGTCCAGCGTCCCAACCGAAACAGAGCAAGGAGCGAACATACAGAGTTCCAAATATCTCTGTTCTTTTTCTGATTCATATGGATTTGCATCAGGCCGAGCTGGTTGATATCCAGTCTCTTCAGCGAACCACTTGGGACGACGCAAACCTCTCTCTATCCATCTCTATCCTTTCTTTCCATGAGACCAAGGCACGAATGATGGTATATGGCAGCCTGAGTCGTTTGGCATGCTTCAAGACTCGTTTGGCACTTCTTTCTTCACGATTTCTCCATCGAACTTGTTTTCCATCGAATTGGTGGATCGTTTCACTGGCACGTCCCACGAAGAAAGCAGGGAACATCAACGGCTCCGAGAACTGCACGGGCTCTCCGTGCGTCCTCGTCAGGTGTTTCGGGTCGGGTCGGGTCGGGTCGGCGTCTTCGGGTCGGTGGTGTAAGTCGACTGGGTCGGCCATGCGACACCCAGGGGTGTCGTGTGAGAAATGCTGTGACACCCAGCGAACGGGCGATTGGTCACTCGGGGGGGGTGATCACAGGATCACAGTGTGATCTCCTGCGTGCGGATGCGTGGGGCCTCTGGTGATTTTTGGTTGGCTGGTGGTGGTTTGGTTCTGTGTTCTGTCGGTGGTTTCCCGTTTTACGTGTGGGATCTTAAAGAAAGGGTGTGCATGTTCATAAGTACATGGATCATACATACCAGAACCCCTGTACCCCTCCTGAAAGGGAAGGGCTGTCGGGTGGCCCCTGAAAGGGAAGGGCTGTCGGGTGGTGCTGGACTCGTGTGGCACTGGACTCGCGCGGTGGTCAAGCTGGGTCCCTCCGGATTTTGACCCTACAGCCATATAACCCAGACACTCCATGGGACTGCCATATGTGCCTACATTGACCCCCCCAACCACCCCAACTGATCGGCATATACGGCAGTCCCATGGAGTGTCTGGGTAATAAAGCGGACCAAGACCCCCATCGTCATTCGTGCGGAGCAACCCTTTTGTTCGCTGTGAACTCCGGAGATGTGAGATGTGACATGATCCCACATGGAGCCTTACCAAGTGACCGAGTCGTTTGCTAGGACCGGGGCACCAGCAACCCATTCAAGGTATGGCTGTTCAGAAGAACTCCAATCATACAAGCTGGGGAAGCCCACTATAGATCATCCCACTGGAATCTCCATCAGAAGCCTTGCCAGGCCATTGCTCCCAGTAGCTGGTGCTGCTCCCAAGCTCCCTTGGCAAAATATTCACAGGCCAACTTCTGAAAGCCATACGTGCTCTGCCTTGGCTTTTCAGAGCCAGTCTTCCACGGCGGAAGCCAGCGGCTTCGCCGTCTGGCAAGAAGTGGGCTTGGCTTGCCGGTGTTTCAACACATGTCCACATCCCAGGGGGGCGGTCTTTGAGGGGTCTCAAGATTTTTGAGGGGTCTCACGAAATTGGGCCGTGAATGGCCGTGACTCCTGCCCCCAAAAAATGCAGCAAACCAGGTGAGAAAAGCAATGGTGTGGGTTGGAAAATCGCACGCCAGGACCCTCGGTTGTTTCATGTGGTTTCCTCACAATTTCACGTAACATGCTAGCAGCTCGCAGCCATGTGACATCCCGTGACATGGATGAGACGAAACCGGACGACACCGGAGGAAACCGGAGCCACGGAGCCCCGGGGTGAACCGGAACCGGGGGCCGCCCCCATGGTTTAGGCCGGTGGAATTCGAGGAAACAGACGCCTGATGCAAACATGGTGGAAAATGGATGAAAATGGGCACCTCGCAGCGGGGCGCTGGATTCAGCAGAGGAGCGGGTGAGTCGGGTGAGTCAGGTGAGTCGGGGTGTTTGTCCCTGGCCAATGCGCTTCGTCCAGCTTCGGATCTCCAAGCCACGGAGGAGGGCAGGATTTCAGATCCGACTCCTGGCCGGTGAGGAGATGGGAGGAGCCTCCAGAAAGAAGGAAAAGCACAGAAGACCTATATACCAGGACCACCAGGAGTTACAAAGGGGATCAAAGGGGTGCCGAACTTGGAGGATAGGGGTCCCCATTATCATCCATGATCCATTCACTCAGGGACCAAGAACATCCAAAAACCATCAAGAACCACCCCTTTGTGACTCCTGGTAATTAAGGCCTGATGGATTCACATTGGCAACCTGAATCCAGCAGTCTGTTCCCTGAAAGGCCTCGTGTAGTCAAACCCCTGGAGTGGTAGTATTATTGTGGTTCAGTATGATACACTACACTGTACGGTGGTAGCCGTCATCCAAGTCTTGGAATCACTTGCACGCCCTTAATAATGTAATGATTCATATATAGAGCTATATAGATGCTCCAAAATAGGCATCAACGCTGTCAATGATAGCGCATCTCACGTGTAATTCTTCCAAACATCTCCACCCCACATCTATTGAACGTCACCTTCCAACACATGCAAATATAAAACGCATCACCCGAGACACTCCTTGGAGGGAAAGGTCTCGCAGCACTCGTAGACCATCGAGCTGCTGATCACCACCACCTTCTCCAGGAAGCCGGCCTCGCCCAGGAAATTCACATCAGATGGTTCTCCACTCCGAGAGCAAAACATTGGAACGGAAGGGAAAGGTTCGAGGTTTCCAGATCCACTGGGATAGCATAGGGGTTCACATATGTTCACATGGCATCACTCATGTCAGGAACCCCTGCAGAAAGAACGTGCGGAAACCACGGAAACTCATAAGAACTCTGACTTGCTATGTTAACGGGACACATCTCGCTTTCGTGGATTTCAAGGAAACATGATTGCACTGTCATGATTGTCATGTATGGCCTCCCCTAAACCCATGGTTTGCGAAGACTCTCCTTAGCCGCCTTAGCTTCAAGAGTTGCAACTGTGCAACAAGTCAGTACTGGACCGCCCTTTTGGTGCTCTTCGTGGCAAAGACGTCCAATATGGCCCAATATTCGTTTGACCAGAAGGGCATCCTCATGCTGGGCCAATCGACCTACTCTAATCGACCTACCCTTCAAAATGAACAAGCCGAAGGGGCTCCGGGTTTTTGGTTCCCGGATTGGTGTTTTCGGTTCCCGCGGTGTTTCTTTTTCCCGCGTTGGTGTTTTCGGTTCCCGCGGTGTTTTTGGTTCCCAAGTGGGTTTTTGGTTCCCGCGCGGCGGTGTTTTCGGTGCCCGGCTCGGTTTTTTCAGTGCCCGCGGCCGCGGGTGTTTTCAGTTCCTGTGATGGTGTTTTCGGTTCCCGCCTTGCGTTGAAGAGGGACAAAATGCGCGGATGTTTTCGGTTCCCGCGTCCGGTGTTTTCGGTTCCCGCGTTCGGTGCGATTAGGTCTCCGGTGCTTCTGGTTTTCTCGTCCGGTGTTTTCGGTTCCCGTGTCGGGTGTGCTGTGTTCCCGTGTGAAATGGTGGGAGTCTTGTGTTGTCGGGGGACAACGCGAAAGAATTTTTGTAAAGACACGAACAAACACGAACCACCAAAAGCCACAACCACTACCACCACCACCTTCACCACCACCACCACCACCACCACCACCACCACGAACAACAGCAACAACGACCACAACAACAACAACCACCACAACGACGACGACGACCAACAACGACGACCAACAACGATCAACAAACAACATGCGAAAACACCAACACAGGAGCTGGGCAAGGAAAACACCAATCCAGGAACTGAAAACACACAGACCTGGGGGGGAGAACTCCGGGAAGGAAAAACACCAATCCAGGAACTGGAAACACCAAGACCTGGGAACCAGAAACACCACGGGAACCGAAAAAAACAATCTGGGAAAAGGAAACACCACGGGAAGGGAAAACACCAATCTGGGAACTGAAAACACCCAACCCAAACCCCCGAAGACCCGCCTGCTTTGCCTCGACGCAAACATCGAAAGCAGCACCTGAGCGTTGCCAAAAGCAGTGATAATAAAGCAGGTCCTTTGAGAATTAGCGGGAAACAACTATAGTCAAATTAGCATGCCATTGTTTGTCTACGAAGCCATTTACGAATTTACTAACAAAATAAGGTATCAAACAGATTCTATAAGAAGGAATACATGGCTCCCCAATGTTGCAGTTCCGTATATCATTTGACGATTCCACCAGTGGAGGTCAGTGTCCACCTGATTCTCTTGCTTGTCCCCTAACAGTGGAAATGTAACAACCCCGTGCTCTTTGGCTCTTTAAAACGCAAGCTTGATTTGTCTTGGCACAACGAGCTGCGACCTGCTCCACACGAACGCCTCTGGTCCTCTTACCGGAATCGGATTTCTCCGTCGAAAACGCTTTGCTCGACAGCGATGCCTCCGACCAAACCTCTCGACGATGCGTTCGAGGCATCGATGCGTTCGAGGGATATCGAGGCACAGGTGATGCGTTCGTTCTCTGCCAGCAGAAAGTAAGCTAACTTGTGAAACCTCGTGGAACGCTGAAGAGCAAAGAGCAGCGTTTCCCTGACTCGGCATCCGACCCCAAAAAGAACAGCCGCTGTGTTTGATTCAATGCGCCTCAGTCTATGAGTGGCTTCCTCTGCCTGCCAAAAAGCATTGAGATGCCCCCAATGATCGCCGCAGCTGCGATGAAGATCTCGATCTTGTTGTCGAAAACAATCTGCAATGCCGGCGGTTGGCTTCCAAGTCAATGAAATTAGCAAAACAACTGAATGGGCAATCAGACCTAGCAAGTATACCATCTTTGAAAGGTTCGTTGTGTCCTGCTCAATCAATGCATGTTGAAGATCCATAACTGCAAGACCTGGGATCCCATCGCGCAAGATGAACAATTTCCCAAAAATGCCAAGGTGTCCAACAAACACAAAACCCACAGTCCTGTCTTCTGGATGTGAGTCAGAACCTGCTGAACCCAATCCCAAATCTAAGCCCTTCAACCAGGGGGCACACCGGTACCCCTTGCAACACACACACAAGCACAGACCATGCACATCTAACATATCTAACACTGCGGGAACTTCCAACAATCACTTCGCCAGGACTGGCCTTCCGCAGAAATTCCACGTCCTTGGCGTCGCCCTGGTAGAAGTGGAAGCGGGGATGCTTCCTGAGAACGGCGTCTTCCGGCGACCCGTGTCACACAGAAGCTTCCTGCAACAAGGCTTGAACAAGAAACTGCACGCTTCGAGGCTTTGCTGGTCGCCCATGGGGACCTGGGAAGGTGTGCGTTCCTTGTCCCAGCCTTTTTGCAAAGGTGTCCTTTTGTTGGATTTTGTTCGCAAGCTGTAGCAGTTGTGCAGCAGCAAATGCTATAGGCTATACTGTACAAAAGGCCTGAAGTGGTTGCAACATGCTAGAAAAGCACACAGTTGGCGTGCGGATTAACACCGAGTGAACTGGGGTGACTGGGGGGTTGAACCAGATCACAGAAACGGTGGACAGATTTCATCTTCAAGAGGCTCAAAGCCACGGGAAAGCGTGCCATACTTCCAGAAGTTGTCCACACCATACACCTCGAGACAAGGATTGGGATCGAGTTTAAGGCCTCGGGAATTTGGTATTAAAGGCCTTCGTTGTATAGTCAAATTCGTGCGATTCCTAAGCGATTTTTGGAGTAGATGTCAGAAGGGATAACAAAAACCTCTAAAATCATCTATATAGCATTTTGCGTTACAGGATCTTGTTGAATGTCGCTATTTTTGTGTTGCATGATGTTGTATGAAGAATATAAAACCAAGGTTTCCCAAGCATCCAACGCAATCCACTGAAACGGCTCTTATGAAACAGTCATCCTCAAATGAAACATATAACATGGGCAATCCAGAAACAACGGTTGGCCATAGGATCTTGAATGTTCTACAATACTATCCTGTACTTGAAGACGATTGGAAAATATTGGAAAGTTGTCTTCTATATACATGGACTTACACAAAAGTTTGTGGAACATTTTTTGTGAACCGTAAGTTGCTTCTCATTGTTTCTCCATCCTTGAAGTGCTTTCGTAGCGAGCGACCGATTTGAGTGAATTATATAGTGACAGTTGGTGGCTCTTTTGTTTTCGCCTCATGTCCTTGCTCCAAGAAGAGAGGGATGGTGTAGCCCATGATGAAGCCGTGACCTGACCAGCTTTCAAATACCGCTTGAGTTCAAAAGTTGAGCGCGACCCCCCCCCCCGGCAGACTGTAGGTGCTGAAGATCCTTGAAGGGTTGAGGGGTTCAAAAATTGCGCAAGGCGGCGCAAGGCCATACCTTTGACGGCCACATCCCAGACACTCCATGGGACTGCCATATATGCCGTCATTGACCCCCCAAGTCACCCCAATCCAGGCATATATGGCACGCATGGAGCCTTTGGCTATGTTCTTGGCATGGCATGTCTCATCCGAATGTCATAGAACTACCAGGTTGCGGTTCCCCAGGCCGCTTGAGCCAGGTCGCCTGGGGACGTCTTGGTGCATTCCCACCGGCGGATCAATGTGTTTGTCATTTCGTGAGTTGAGCGATCCGTTTCAAGAACTGGGAAGGATTCACCTTGCCTAAGCGGCAACGCCAATTCACTAACTCTGAAAGACATGTGAAGAAGTGAATCGATGACATGACAAATGGCTCCACTAAAAAGAACGGCTGTAAAGGAGTTGGAAAGTCAAAGCGAGCTAAATTACTAAACTTCGACCACATTCGAACGCCAACCGCAACAACACCACAGACTACACAGACCTAAAACTGCATCCGAATCCATGAAGCCAAAACTTGCAGGACACTGAAAAATGAAAAAAACACACCCGTCTCGTTTCTGCTCGCTAATATGAAGCCAACGCAACCAACTTTCGAACGTAGCTACCGCCCC